CCCCAAAACCCCAAAACCCCAAAACCCCAAAACCCCAAAACCCCAAAACCCCAAAACCCCGTATCAAGTTCTTTACATTGAGATATTAAAAAGTTAAGAAGAACACCCACATAGAGAACGCAGAAATTGGAGTCAACGTGTAGTATGCCAGCTTGTTGAATTTCTCATGTGCGAGCCATCCATAAACTTCTCTAATCATCTCTTGTTTATCCTTGATCATTGGCCATCTGTATTGAGCAGCATTTCCCTCTATAATATTTGTACTAGCATCTTCGATTTTGAGCTGCTGGAAGTAGAACTGCTTTATCTCTGTTCTGTTGGGCAACTCCCAATAACGAGCAAGATCCTCAGGAGCAAGATTGTGCCACTCATTGTTACTTGGATTGTTGGGGATTTTGTAGTCGTGAATATCCTTAGCCTTCAAGAAAGTACCATTGATCTTCACTAGTTGACGGGAGTTTCTCTCCCAAAGCCTATTTCTCTTATCTTTTAATTCGTATGGGATCCATCCTCTGTTCACAACAATGGCTGCTCTGTCAGTTCCGATGTCAAAGACTCCTTCCTTGGCTTTGATAGTCTCAGCATTGACGGTACCTCCATCATAGCAGTACAGTGGGTTGACTACATCAAAACCTTTATGGGTCACACCGTCGATAGTTTTATCCTTAGGAATCAAGACTTCTTTGCTATAATCAAGCTGCCCAATCACATAGTAAGGCATGAATTTATAATAAGCGTCATATTCCTGGTCTGGCATTCTGTACCAAGTGAGCCACTGGGATCTCCATGGAGTGATATTTTGAGCGATGCCTGAAAGTCTATACAGTCCATTACCGAGCATGAATTCCTTCCTAAGCTTGAGTCTCCAGTTGAAATAGGCAATGCCTCCGGTCAGGAGCCCTATAGACATAGCTCCGAAGTTGACAGCGTCCTTAGTCTTGCCTCTAAGTCTTCTTAATGCTATAGACGACATAAAATATTATATAATTATAATTCTATAATTATTATACATAATGGGGTTTTGGGGTTTTGGGGTTTTGGGGTTTTGGGGTTTTGGGG